TATCAACATCTTGCCATGAGAAATTCAAATGGAAATTAATGACCATTTTGCGGGTGATGGCCATGCTCCATATATCATCCAAGCATGTGGTATGAGGATAGTTCTACCCTTATCAGCCCAATCCAACATGCCCTTTAACAGTTAATACTATAAAGGAGCATCCTCATTTCATATGTTCGTAACATATAAACTGGTAGCAATTACATGTACTTTGGTGTACAATATTTATAATGTCATAATATTTAACATTTAAATGATCCATAACCAACTTAACAGCTTATATTACATATGATTAAACCGTACAACATTCATCAATGAAGATGAACAAAGAATCAAATACAATATCTAAATTTGTACTCCTACATGAGGATGTTAACTCCTCGATTCAAGGAACCATGACTTGTCGATGGAGATTTTCAGGATGAAGTACCCATCTCGCATACATATTCTTCTCGAAATTTCAAGTTGCTCCTGTACAATATGAAGAATGTCATAATAAATTGTATTCATAGTAATAAAAAACAAAACAATAATACAATGACTTTAATAAATCAATTCAGTCACAATAATTTCATATCAACTAATAAATCAATCATTTGTAAGAAAGTTACCTGTAAGACAGCCACACAACCAGCAACGTACAATTGAGAAGCATTTTTTTCCTCGTTTAACTTTCTACTAGCACGATGCAAACTATTAACTAATAAACCGTGCACAACATTTCCCCAATTATAATTATCTAATGCCTCTAAATCATCTAATAAACTAAAAGGAACACTATGAACAGTGCGGGATGTGCGAGGAAAGTAAAAAACCGCCCACCCAAGTAGGATATAAAGCCTACAAAAGACAACTACATATTTAACATGCTTAATTTTTTTCCCTTACAGCCTTCCTAACTATATTTGTTAATCGTTATTGGTTCCTCTTCGTCGAATAAATCTTTTACTAAACATGAACCACTATCTTCTAAAACAACTACCTCCCCCCTTATACGTAAACCTAACGAAAAACAAACATCTAAAGGGGTGAATGGGACAAGATATTGTTTTATTCTAAAACAATGATCACTAATCGACCATCGACTAACTAGTTCTCTTATAATATTGCTTGATATTTGCAATGGCTCTTTTATTTGAAGAAGCCATTTAAACGAGTTTGTTCAATAGTTGCTCGTTGGTGTTTGGTCAACTTTGAATTTATATCAGCTATATACTCTGTCTCAATCTTGTGTCTTAATCTTATCTGCACATATAACATGTATAACATATATAACATACATAACATATAACAAATTGAATATTTAGTAAATCACTTTTCATCAAAAAACTATAATTAACATGCACATACCTTTTTCTCGTCAAGACGGTCTCTTTTTGCAGACATTTTTTCCCAACCTAATCCTGTTACAAATTATTAAAATTGTAACTTACAATCACAAAATAGTACTAACAAAAAAATTAAGTCCAACCATGTTACACATACTTTTGGTCAAATTGTGAATTATGCAAACGTGGGTGTAAATCTTGTGTATATTATACAAAATGTTTGTCATGCAAATACAATTCTTCATTGTAGCATTTCATCAAACACTTGTTGGACATTAATATAGCATCACAACTCAATTAACCCTAAACCCTACAGAATACTTTCATTACAAACCCAATCAAAGATAAACAGAAAACAAAGCAACAATGCGCAAATACAATTCTTCATTATAGCATTTCATCAAACACTTGTTCGACATTAATATAGCATCACAACTCAATAAACCCTAAACCGTGAAAAACACCTTCATTACAAACCCAATCAAAGATAAACAGAAAAGAAAACAACAATGGAAACCCAATCAAAAATACACACAAAATCAAGCAAATGTTGTTAAACGAACACTCACCACCGCAGGGTCGCTCAAGCAACACACAGGTGATGTTCAGCTCCAACGACACTGACGAAGCCAAGCGACAGGAAGTCGAGCGCCGTCAAGAGCGAGATGGAGAAATTTTACCCTAAGTAGAGGGAGAAGAAGTCGAGCGACGAAGAGCGCGAATGTGAAAAGCGAAAATCAATGTAATAAAACCCTTTTTCTAACATTTAGATAGCTATTTGCCTAACCGCTATCTGAACTATATTATGTATCGATTATTATCCAATTATAATCGATTATATCATATATATGACTGAAGATAGCCGATTTGGCCAACGCCATCTGAAGCTATGCATTATGATCGCAACTTAGAAGATTTTTTTGTAAAGTGTTTTAATTGATACAAACGTTGTCGTATCAGCTTAAAACAAATCTGTTAAAGAATCAAGAACGTATTAATGGATTAAAAGAAGTTTTAACAGATTAAAACTGCACTTTTAACAGATTAAAAGAATCTTTTAACAGATTAATTAAACCAGCAGTTGTGAATATGTTCTATAAAAACAGAGTTGCTTGAACTTTTTAAACACACATTGAATATCATCTTTTACACATCCTTGAGCAATCAATAAAGCAAACTTCAGCACTCTTTTCAAGAAAGATTCGCATCAGTTTTTGAGAAGTTCTTTGAAAATCTTTCTTGAGGCAACTTGTTTTCTTTTGAAGAAGAAACACTTACAGCAGAATTGCATAAACTAGTTTGAGCATTCTAGTTTCTTCTTTTTCATTTCTTTACATTCTTTTTGTATTGTTTGGTGCCTGGAATTTGGTTCTTGGTAAAAGGTTAGGTGTTGGTGCCTGGAATTTGGGCACTGGGTTCTCTGCAGCTGGAATTTGGTTGTAGAGGTTATCAAGAACTGGAATTTGGTTCTTGGTGAGAGGTTGTTTGCAGGAACTGGAATTTGGTTCTTGTGGTAGATTAAGTGTAAGATTGTAAATCTGTAAAACATTTGATCTAATGGAACCCAGCTGGAATTTGGTGGACGTAGCCCTGGTATTGGGTGAACTAGTATAAAACACCGGTGATATTAGATAATCTGTTATTTGTGAAAAACTTTTAAAGAACAACTCACCCCCCCCCCCCTCATTTAGATAGCGGTTATTTGGCCAACCGCTATCTGAACTATACATTATGATCGATTATTATCCAATTATAATCGATCAGATTGACATATATGACTTTACATAGCGGTTATTTGGACAACCGCTATCTAAACTATGCATTATGATCGATTATTATCCAATTATAATCGATCAATTTTACATATATAACTTTAGATAGCGGTTATTTGGTCAACCGCTATCTGAACTATACATTATGATCGATTATTATCCAATTATAATCGATCAGTTTGACATAAATGACTTTAGATAGCGGTTGTTTGGACAACCGCTATCTGAACTACATTTATTATAGCGGTTATGTTGCCAACCGCTATCTAATATATATTTTTAAAAGCGGTTCTAACTAACCGCTATCTTAGGTCGCCTCGCGCTCAAGCGACTATATAATCGCTTGAGCGACAGTTGAACCTTTACCAAACGAAACCATCGCTTAAGCGACAAAACCTTCAATTGGTGTGAATATTTGTGTATGAAGTAGATTAAACTGTTAATTTGGCATGAATATTTTTCAATTGGTGTGTTTGGATGTAGCAGAGAGTCATGTAATATTTTTTTGCACAAAAACCTGATAATTTGTTAGATTAATTTGTCAAATTTTGAATTGTTTTCTATAATTCTGTCAAATTCTGTGAATATAATTCTGTGAATATATAATGTCAAATTTACATTGATGTTTATATGTCTACAACAATTAAAATTCACAAGTCATTCATTATTACAATCCTTCAATTTCATGTTAACAAATTGTTCCACCATTTCGTTGTACACAAGACACTACATAATTGCATCCTGTCTTTTCTTTCTGGTGGCACTGCACCAACAGGGTTGACATATGACCTGATGAAGAGCATGACCTCTTGCCTTTGTCCTCAGCCTGGCACCGACAAAAGAAAAAGAGTGTCAAAGAGACTGAGGATTATAATGAAACATCACTATAATGCCAGAATACTTTCATTACAAACCCAATCAAAGATAAACAGAAAACAAAGCAAGAATGCGCAAATACAATTCTTCATTATAGCATTTCATCAAACACTTGTTCAACATTAATATAGCATCACAACTCAATAAACCCTAAACCGTGAAAAACACCTTCATTACAAACCCAATCAAAGATAAACAGAAAAGAAAACAACAATGGAAACCCAATAAAAAATACACACAAAATCAAGCAAATGTTGTTAAACGAACACTCACCACCGCAGGGTTGCTCAAGCAACACACAAGTGATGTTCGAGCTCCAACGACACTGGACGAAGCCAAGTGACAGGAAGTCGAGCGCCGTGAAGAGCGAGATGGAGAAATTTTACCCTAAGTCGAGGGAGAAGAAGTCCAGCGAGGAAGAGCGCGAATGTGAAAAGCTTTCTTCAAACGTATCTTTCACTTTTTACAATAACATCCCCCATTTTTACAATATTACATCTCTACCCCTCTACAATTTTACTAATCAAACCCTTATTTTTAAGAGTGATGATATTTTGACAACCAAAAACCATACAACCTTTATAAACAACTCACTTTTATTAATATAATAATCTATAGACTGATTTAATACAAATAAAAATAAAGTAAAACTATTATTATAATATTAAAACAGAGTTGTTTATAGAAGTTGTATGGATTTGGGTTGTCAAAGTATCATTTTCCTATTTTTAATTAATTTCTTTTTAACCCTGGTTGTCGAACGGATGTTTGTTTTCAGTTGTCAAAGAATCGTTTTCGATTGAATAGTAATTAAATTAATTTTTTTATTGTAGTACAACATTGTACCTGACAAATAAATTAATATTTTATTGTGGTTTGTTGGCAGAGAAGATAATAATTTGATGGTGGTCCAAGGAAATAGGTTTATTGAGGAAAAAATTTGCCATAATCACGGCCTATAAATACCCACATTCAACAAGTAATCAACGCACTGCAAAATCCATAACTAAATCAAATCACAACAATGGCTTTTGTTAGACTTGCTGCTCTTTTTTTCGCTCTCTTCTTTCTTGCCACTTCCGGTATGCACTTTTCCATTCATTTTCTTTTCATCATTTCTAACTGCGCATATATCTCAGAACTATAACACATTTTAACATATTCTGATATATGAACGTGCTTTTGTTCTGTCATTTTCAGTGTTATCAATGAAGAGCACAGAAGCAGCGAGTTGTTCTGCTACTTGTACGGTGGGTCTTTCTAAACCATGTGGCTCCACCTCATGCATATGTTCTCCTGTTTTATTATTAGCTGGTATTTGTTCAAGTGGAGTTGAATCCTTAGAGAAGAAGATCGATGAACATCCCAATCTATGTCGATCTGATGATGATTGCGTGAAGAAAGGAAGTGGCGACTACTGCGCTCCTTATCCTTATCAACATGTGCATTACGGGTGGTGCTTTGATTCTAACTCTCGAATGCTGAAAAATTTCTTGGCTTTGCCTAAAGGAATGGCCAAGTGAAATTTGCATGCTCATCACTCATAAGTGATCATGCATCTTCTACGTAAAATAAAAAGCCTATGATGCATGTACTATCCACCGTTTTAAATAAACCAGTTCCCTCATTTGTGTTTTTCCAACTCAGTTGTGTATATTATATATATGCATTTCCAGCGTACCAGTCAAATAAATAAGAACCAACTAATACAAATATAAAAATGGGAATTTACATTGCTACGATTGCTGCTCAAGAAACTAATTCAAAATTTTCATGTACATACAAAACTTCTTCGTAATTCAGTAAGCTCAATATTATGTCGTACAAAAAAATTAATTAAAGTAATTGCTCTTTGTGTTGTTTCCTTTCTGTCTGTTAATTAAAATAGTTTATATTATTTTTTTTCTCTGCGTAATAAATATAATTAAGCCCAATTTCAGCGCTGATTTTTAGTTATTTTTTGTTGATCCGATTTTCAACATACTGATATAACATCTAAAGTAATTGAAATAGTTACAGGTAAGATCTTCCTTGAAATAATTGCCACTGAGAAATTATAAATATCTTAAAACATCAGATTTAATAAGAAGAAATGAAATTCAAATTAACTCCAGCTGTCAGAGCAGATTAGGTCTACCCTAATTCAAAATAAAATATCTCTTCAATAAAATACGGAACCTACTACATATTTGCAAACACTTTTATGACTTAATTAACTTATATATATATATATATATATATATATATATATATATATATATATATATATATATATATATATATATGTCCTTCTATTTATAGCATTTCTATTTTGTATCATATTTTATTTCTAAAATTTAAAAGTAGAAAATATTTCATTCCTATTTAACTAATAACAATTTTTAGTTAAATATTTTCACATTTTTCACTCCTAAACCTCCATGGCTTAACTGAGGTTATTCTCCTTTCACCGCTATCAATCCCTCGTAAAAAATTTACATTGATTTTTGTCGCCAGCCCACTTGCGATTTTAAAGAATAAAAGAAGATTTATACATTGTAACGAAGAGAGGACGGGAAATGGTACGTGCTAAGAGAGTTATTTAAGTTTCAAAAGGCTTAACTTTTTCTCAAATGGTTTAATAGATTTATACGTCTCCTTATTCTAATATTTACTCTATTAGATAATACCAAACACACAAATTAAAATGTAAGAAGTCTAAGTTCCATCACCTGTATCTTTCTTATAAAAAATTAGTTTATAAAAGTGTTTAGGGTTGAGAATTCAAGTGTGATTCTAATCCCACATTGAGTAAAAATAAGAAAGTTGACCAATATATAAGAAAGAAATACCCATAACCTCTTAAGGTTTTAACTTGAGAGCAATGTAAATTCTTATGGGGTAGAATTAAGTAGATACAAACATCACCTTAATAACACATACTTAATCATATACTTACTCAATTAACATAATGTATAAATACTCTTATCTTTATATGTTTGTGGGACCACACAATGCACACTCTTTTGAAGTGATTTAGGAGTACATGAATCGGATATCAATGATCTTATCAATACACTCTCAACTTGAATAAGTCTAATAGAGACTGTTGAGATAATATAATTGATCATGGTTGGCCCTCATCTTACTCAGATGGGAGGTCTCTACTCTAAAATGTCCAAGGTCAAGGTAGAAGATCATAAAGGCCCTCATTCAGAGTTTGATATCCACCTCAAAGCAACTATGAATGAATGAAGTATGTACATACAAATGCATAACACATCGCAAATTATCAAGTAAAATTGTTTTTTTCACATTATTAAGTCATTGTTTAGACTTCTTAAATGACAAAACAAAATTTGGATTTTTACACTATCAAGTCATTCTTTAGACTTCTCAAATGATCAAACATAACTTAGATTTTTACCATACTAAATTGTTCCTTAAACTTCTTAAAACACACAATTAACTCTCAAGTACATCATAATAATTCAACTTATTATAACTTGCAAGTTCTTCATGTAAATAATTATTTATCATAGATCTCAAGATATATCCCCATACATACACATATACACATAGGTAAGGTTTATATATTGAAAGTAATATTATATCTTTTAAGTCTATATTAATATCTCACTCACTTTCTCTAGTACTTTTATGACATTTATTTAGTATTAAAATGATATTTATAATTATACTATGCATATAATATTGATTTTTATCTTATTTTAATGTTAATAAAATTATCTACAACTTATATATTGACCTCAAAATCCAATTTAATCATTTACTAGGTTTAAAATAAAGAAAAATATAAATATTTATTCTAATCCCGATAACATGACCTTTAATTATTAAAAAAATTATATATTGACTTATACACAATATTTGTGTGTAAAACCAACATATTTAATTAGCTAAAATTCTTGAAAAATATCAATATACACAATAATTAAACGAATTTAAGAGCATAGCAAACATCATCATCCACTTAATAACTAAAATAAATAATAATTCAATGAAATAGCTTCATGAGATTATTGCACTATAATAATTAAAAAAAAATAGTGATTATTGTATTGTTTTCACTACTAGAAAAATGGTTAATAATAACCAAAATTAGTAACCGAAAAATTCAGTCACTGATAGTAACTAAATCGAGTCATTGATTTCAGTTTTATATTTAGTGACTGATTTAGTGACTAAAATTTCAGATCACTGAAATCGGTCATCGATTCAGTCACAAAATCAGTCACTGATTCGGTCACTACTAGAAAAATGGTTAATAGTGATTGAAATTAGTGATCGAAAAATTCGAGTTACTAATAGTAATCGAATCGATGACTCGATTTCTCTTTTTATATATAGTGACTGATTTAGTGACTAAAATTTCAGTCACTAAACAAATAATATATAAATTAGTGACTATTTTTTATTTATATAAATAATTTTTAAAAATATTTTAATAATATATTAAATATAAATCTACTTAATAATTTAAAATAATTGATAAAAATTTTAATAACATTATAAAAATTTTAAAAAATAGTTTATTAACTTATTAAATAATTTAGTAATATAGTATGTAAATAAAAAAATTAAAATTAATTATTAAATTAATTACCGATTCAATCATTAAAATAATTATTAATTTAATCTCTTTTATATATATAATCAATGATTAAATTAATTATTAGTTTAGTCTCTTTTTGATATATATATATATATATATATATATATATATATATATATATATATATATATTATATATATATTACTTTTATGTTAATAAAAATGTATTTCAATGTATTTATAAAAAAATTAAAATTATTTTAATTATTGAATTGATATTTCAAATTTATATTAATATTTTAAATAATTTAGTAATTGGATAAATATTTTAAGTTTATATTAGTATTTTTATAAAAGTGTAAAGATTAAGTGAACTTATTTTAAAATTTAATTAAACATAATAATATAATATACTATTAACCATAAATATGTGAAGATTTAGTTAGAAATTAATTTTAAGTTTTATCGTTTTTATTTTAAAAAAATTGTTAAAAAAATCAAAATAATTAATTAAAATAAAGAATTTTAATTTAATAAATGTGTTAATATTATTAGTTATTGGAGAATTAAATTTATAATAATAATTATATAAAATTATAGAATTAATAAAATTTAAATTATTGGTATTTTTTTAATCATGAAGCTAAAATTTGATAATATTAATAAATTAAAATAAAAAAAATAAAAAAATTATATATATATATATATCACTTTAATTATTTTAATTAAAAATAATTTCATAAAAAACTAATATTTGAAAATAAAAATGCAAAAGTATATAGTTTTTCTTTTATTTAATTATATTTTTTATTTTTTACTTTTTGGGTTTTAGTCCATAACAACAATTTAATTGCTCTAATTTCCACAAAAATATATAATTTCTCTTATTAACAATTTTTTTTAATCAGATTAAGAAAATTATTACTAATAAGATTCAAAACTAGTACTTTAGAGTTAGATATTAATACTCCAACCACTAAACTGTTAGAATTTTTTAATAAAAATTTACAAATAAATTATATTTATATATAAATAAATATATATCCGTGTAAATATATAAATATAAAATATATAAATACAAATATATTTATATATTTTGATATATTTATATGTTCGATGTGAGGATGACGCTAGAAGGTGAAAGTGTGTGTCGAGTGAGTTTGCAAAATTTGATGTCAAATTTGTGAGCGAGTCTCTTTATATAGATTTGTAATTTAATGATAGAATATAATCTTTATAATTTATTTATATAATGATATAAAATAATTGTTTTCTTTATTTATTTTTATTTTATTTTAATTTATTCTTTTTATCTTTTTTCTTCTTCTATTATTTAATTAAAATTCTTATATTAAAATAATTTTTCATTATTAAAAATAATTAAATATTTATTTTTAAAATTATTTTTTAAAATTATTTAATTTAACAAATTATTATGAATTAATCTATGTCTGGAAAAAATAATTATTAAAAGATGATTTTGATTAATTTATAATAATATATGTTAGGAAAAAATTGTTCTATTAATAATCATAATTAGATTAATTTATAATAATTTATTAAATTAAATAATCTTAAAAATAAATATTTAATTATTTTAATATTGAAAAATTTATTTTAATATAAGAATTTTAATTAAATAATAGAAGAAAAAAATATAAGAAGAATAAATTAAAATAAAATAAAAATAAATAAAGAAAAAAATTATTTTATATCATTATATAAATAAATTATAAAGATTATATTGTGTCATTAAATTATAAACTCATATAAAGAGACCCGCTCACAAATTTGACATCAAATTTTAAAAATCTACTCGACACACTTTCACATTCGAGCGTGCCCTCACATCCAACATATATATATATATATATATATATATTTGTATTTATATATTTTATATTTATATATTTACACGGATATATATTTTTATTTGTATATAAATATAATTTATTTATAAACTATTATC